ATGGTGAACAAACATCAGTTATATTATAAAGTTGATAATTTCCTTTGTGCTTTACTTGATCAAATATTGTGTTGAAATATTCGTTGAGCGTTTAACGATTGTCTGGGTTTAAATTTTAAAAACGTTTAACAGTTAAAAGAAAGTAGAAATTCAAGTCGGAAATGACGTCACGATCTCAGGGGTTTCCGTATATTGTAGCCATGTGTGACTGAGTGTGTGTGTGTGGGGGGGGGGGGGAGTCTGTATGTCGAAAGTATGGGTGACTACGTGAGGGTGTTAAAAATATTATTTAGCATGTGTGTTTTAAAACACAAAAAAAAAACATGTACTAGAATTATAGTTATTTTAGCAGTTGGGAGGTTAGAAGATTTACTTTTGTGAGGTGATTTAGTGAGAAGTATTTGTCGTTCAGTAACGCCGAGTGACGCTAGACTAGAGTAAAAGGGGAGAGGGGCTAAAGTTGCGACAAGCCTCACTCTGGTACGCAATTAGTAAATAACACCGGAGTCTTGTATTTATATAAAAATATTTTAAACACAATAATAATATCCAATTTATTTATCAGCGTAATAAGCAAGACAACGTTGCGATCAAGTTGACATATTTCTCGTCATTAGGTTGAAGAGAGCGTCCACAGAGAGACATCAGAGACACATCAGTGACACGTCAGTGACACATTAGTGACACATCAGAGAAACATCAGAGGCACATCAGAGACACATCAGAGACGCACCAGAGAAACACCAGAGACACGCCAGAGACACATCAGACACACCAGAGACACATCAGAGACACATCAGAGACACATCTATCTGAGCAGATTCTAATGCTGAAGATGTTACTGGCGTGCTTTACGTACTCACAGTTTACATACATTTGAAATCAAGATGATTTTTAAGGCAAGCACAAAGCAAGATGGCTGCTTATAAACTAGACAATTTATATCGATGCAAAACATTTCTTTTTAAATTTTAATGTTTCACAAATTTGCACAAATGTTGGAATTAAAATTTTAGGGATTAGTCTTTTTTTTTAAACAGAAAAAAGTAAATATTGTTAATCGCCAAGACAAAATTATCTTGTAAATCTATTGTTTGGCTCCAGGTTTAAAACTTTGTCTGGCCACCATATATTTTTTCTGGCAAAACCAGATAAAATTTCGGTTATTTGGCCAAGAAGTTAAATGAGCTTTTATCGCCAAGATTATCATCAATTTGTCTGAAGACAGTCAAGAGTTTTTCTGGCTAACTGGTAAAATTTGTCTAAGTACATGATTAACATTTTTTTTTTACAAGAGATCTTCATGTAACGACTATAAAAGCAATTACTAATAAGTAATGTAACATATTACTTCATTCATTTTGTCACAATAACAAGCTGCTACTATGAGGCTATATGCAACCATTGTAACAATGAAGTATGTGTTGACAAAAATAAAACAATAACAAAATTGGAAAACAGCAAGATATTGTTCGCGGCATCTTTGGTTGGTTTATAAATATAATTTCATGGACGAAAACAATTTCAGTGTAGAAACTCCAAAGTTGTATGCCGCAACAAAAGTGATCTATTTACAAGTCAATGTTTAGCAAGTTGCGCCAGTACGCCCAGCACACATAAAATACAGCTTTATAGAACAACACAAACATGCTCATGGGATAAAAAACTTAGATTTATCGCTTGACAACAAATGTGTGCCAGTCACATGACGACACGCACGCGATGGACGTGCGTTCAGTGTGAGTACAAGCATCTGATTTCAGCGTCAAACAAAGCGGATGTGAGTTTGATGACAATCACATTCACCGCTCTACATCAGCTGTGTGACAGGACATGGGATGATTTGGTACAATGTGACATGCATGACATGTGATGATTTGGTACAATGTGACATGTATGACATGTGATGATTTGGTACAATGTGACATGTATGACATGTGATGATTTGGTACAATGTGACATGTATGACATGTGATGATTTGGTACAATGTGACATTTATGACATGTGGTGATTTGGTACAATGTGACATTTATGACATGTGGTGATTTGGTACAATGTGACATGCATGACATGTGATGATTTGGTACAATGTGACATGCATGACATGTGATGATTTGGTACAATGTGACATTTATGACATGTGGTGATTTGGTACAATGTGACATTTATGACATGTGAAGATTTGGTACAATGTGACATGTATGACATGGAACGGCGTGGTCGGGTGGTAGAGCGTACGACTGCTAACCACATAGTCTCGAGTTCAGATCCCGGGCTTGAGACCAATAAGACGTCTCTGAGCCTACCCGGCTCTAATGAGTAAGTTAGGGAAAATAAAGGCAGTTGGACATAATATTGACCACACTTACCTACAAATGCCAAGGTCACAGAAACAAGTGAACTCTACTTGCTCCGTTGAACAGCAAGTTCAAAAACGAACTTATATTATTTACTTTATGAGACAAGGTATGTGATGATTTAGTCACATACAATTTAATGGGTATTTAATATCAGTTTTAATTAAAGTAAAGTTATACATATCCAACCAATGTTTACATAAAAGCATTTCTTTACAAAATTTATGGCATTTTTATACATTTTAAGAAGTTAAAATTGTAATAATAATTAATATGCCATCAGGGCTACAGTTTCCTGTTAAAGGTAGTTAATAGGAAAAATTACACTAGCAGCTTAAAAACATAATACTCATTATTAAAGAAAAGTTGTTATACATTGTAAGTTAACTAGTGTAGGTTACATCTTGACAAGTTAGATAACTCTTGACACAAGTTAGACAAGTCGTGGCACAAGTTTGATAAGTCTTGTCACAAATTAGATAACTCTTGTTACAAGTTAGACAACTCTTGTCATAAATTATATAGCTTTTCAGGTTAGATAACTCTTGACAAACATTAGATAACTCTTGTCACAAATTAGATAACTCTTGACAAAGGTAGACACCTCTTGTCACAAATTATAGCTTTTCAGGTTAAATAACTCTTGACAAACGTTAGATAACTCTTGTCACGAGTTGAATAACCCAACGTACATTGCTTTATAAAATGTAAAGTACCTCCAAATATGATTATGTGTAAGAGTTTAAACAAATTGATACAAAATATAACTAGGCTAAATATTGATGAGCCAGCTTTAAAATTGTAAACTTTAGTTACATGTTTTACACGACTAGATGAGGTAGTGAGCAACAACTGCTGTAGTGTTTTAGGTGAGTGGGGAACAACGCTGATGTTTTAGGTGAGTGGGGAACAACGCTGATGTTTTAAGTAATCGGGGAACAACGCTGATGTTTTAGGTAAGTAGGAAACAACGCTGATGTTTTAGGTCAGTGGGGAACAGCGCTGATGTTTTAGGTGAGTGGGGAACAACGTTGATGTTTTAGGTCAGTAGGGAACAACGCTGATGTTTTAAGTAATCGGGGAACAACGCTGATGTTTTAGGTAAGTAGGAAACAACGCTGATGTTTTAGGTCAGTGGGGAACAGCGCTGATGTTTTAGGTAAGTAGGGAACAACGTTGATGTTTTAGGTGAGTGGGGAACAGCGCTGATGTTTTAAGTAATCGGGGAACAACGCTGATGTTTTAGGTAAGTAGGAAACAACGCTGATGTTTTAGGTCAGTGGGGAACAGCGCTGATGTTTTAGGTGAGTGGGGAACAACGTTGATGTTTTAGGTCAGTAGGGAACAACGCTGATGTTTTAAGTAATCGGGGAACAACGCTGATGTTTTAGGTAAGTAGGAAACAACGCTGATGTTTTAGGTCAGTGGGGAACAGCGCTGATGTTTTAGGTAAGTAGGGAACAACGTTGATGTTTTAGGTGAGTGGGGAACAGCGCTGATGTTTTAGGTCAGTAGGGAACAACGCTGATGTTTTAAGTAATCGGGGAACAACGCTGATGTTTTAGGTGAGTGGGAAAAACGCTGATGTTTTAGGTCAGTGGGGAACAACGCTGATGTTTTAGGTGAGTAGGGAACAACGCTGATGTTTTAGGTGAGTAGGGAACAACGCTGATGTTTTAGGTGAGTGGGAAAAACGCTGATGTTTTAGGTCAGTGGGGAACAACGCTGATGTTTTAGGTATGTAGGGAACAACGCGGATGTTTTAGGTGAGTGGGGAACAACGCTGATGTTTTAAGTAATCGGGAAACAACGCTGATGTTTTAGGTGAGTAGGGAACAACGCTGATGTTTTAGGTGAGTGGGAAAAACGCTGATGTTTTAGGTCAGTGGGGAACAACGCTGATGTTTTAGGTCAGTGGGGAACAACGCTGATGTTTTAGGTATGTAGGGAACAATGCGGATGTTTTAGGTGAGTAGGGAACAATGCGGATGTTTTAGGTCATAGGCGAACAACGATGATGTTTTATGTGGGTAAGAAAATACACTGTTGTACCATGTCAGTATTTCCTACGGGTGTGTCAGCTTCCACAAAATAAGAACTTTGTATGACATGTTCTAAAAAAACCCCATATCAGACGCACTCTACTTCCCCTGATCTAACAATATTAATGTGCCGATGCTCACTCAATCAACTCCGTTACAAGTGACCAACTGTTTCTATCTACCGAACAAGCCGTTGTAAAAACAACAGCATTATGAGGGTTTACTGTATGGTAATTGTAAATTGAAGTTACAAAAAGACTCAGCCAGCTTTCATGAATAAATTAGACACGCATGACTGAACATGGGGGGGGGGCGTTAATCCGTGATGTTGTAACGGATCAGGCTACACCGCCGGTCACTCGGGGTCACTTAAAGGTCAAACATAGATCAGACAGGGTCACGCAAGTGACAGAAGTCACTCAAAAGTCATATATAAAAAATACACTGGGTAGAACAGGGTCACCCAAACATCACACAGAAATAACACAAAGGTCACCCAGAAATCACACAATGCAGCACAGGGTCACCCAAAGATCACACAAAGTTCACCCAAAGGTCACTCAAAGGTCACCCCAAGGTCACACAAAGGTCACGAAAAGGTCAGACCGAGTCACAGCCGTAGTGCTCCGAGTTCCTGCAAGTCATGATCATCCTCTCCTCGCAATGGTTGTGTTGGCGCTCGTCTACAAATCTAGACTGGAACCTTTGGTTCTGGGGAGATACAAGTCATAAGTCATACATTGTAAGTCATGATATGGTTAAAGTCATACATTGTAAGTCATGATATGCCACAGAGCCATATATTTAAATCATGCTATAGAATAACGTCATGCATTTTATAACATTTTAGGGACGTCTTACATTTTAAAAGGAAAGCTATGTAACACGAGGTTCGATCTATGATAATACTTTAGATTGACCCCCAACATACATGTAATCTCTAAGTTCAACGAAGGTAAGAAATACACCTTTCCGTCTCAAAATATATATAAAAAATGTCTTTTTTTACTTTCTCATAATACTTGAAATAAACTGGGAGTGATCTCCCCTAAACTTTCTCGAATATTCTAATATGACACTACGAGGGATGGCAACTCGGGATATAGACTTCTAGACATGATTTTTAATCCATTTTAAATACTCAAACTTTTAAAAATAGAATATAATCTCGTAGAAAAAAGAATTGCACACCAAGTGAACGCTAAATAAAGATGTGCATAATAGTGCGCAATATTATTAGTACTTTATACATGTACATGCGTTTTTTGAGAAATCGGAAATAGCGTAAATAAGTACTTCCGGTCAACGGAAATTAAATTACTCAAAATTTGACAGAAGGTAGAGAATTAGATCTTTTACTTACATGTGAAATTTCATTTATCTATCTGAAATAGTACTCAAGTTATAGGCTTTTGAAAGATTCAAAGTAGAAAAAGTACCACTTCCGGTTATCGGAAATCGCTCAAAAGTTGATACGGATCTACGATTTCGATAAAATACTTATATATGAAATTTCATCAACCTAGCTGTAACGGTACTCAAGTTATCGTGTTTACACACGGAAAGACAGACAGACAGACAGACACACAGACATACGGACAAGATTGCAAAATTATGTTTTTCCGTATCAGTGAGGTGTAAAACGTCGAGATTTGCAAAAATCTCGATTTTTTTTTTGCACGATTACAAGACTTTCTCTATACTTCGTATATACGAGAGAGTAAAAATCGAAACCAAGATTTTCACTAATCTCGACGTTTTATACCTGAGTAAAAGTTTCTAAGTTAATCGAATTTCATACATAAGTATTATATCAAATTTGTAGTTCTGTATCAATTTTCAGCGGTTTTCCGGTAAACGGAAGTGGAACTTATTTAACTTTCGGTTTTTCAAAAGCTTATAACTTGAAAATAGGACGGAGTGGTCTAGTGGTAGTGAGCTGGACTGCTAACCCGTAAGTCTCGAGTTCGAATCCGGGTTCAAGTCAGTAGACCGTCCCTGAGTCCACCCAGCTCTGATGGGTACTTAACTCACGTTAGGGAAAGTAAAGGTCCCAGAAACAAGTGAACTCTACTTCACTTGCCCCATAGACCGTCAGGTTTGAAAGGGAAACTTTATAACTTGAAAAGTGTTTCTGATAGATAGAGGAATTTCACATAAAAGTAAAAAAAAAAATCGAATTCTCTGTTTAATGTCATATTTTGAGAAATTCCGGTAACCGGAAGTGGTACATTAAGCTATTTCCAATTTCTAAAAAAAACCGCATGTGAATTTATAAAATACTAATGTTCGCACTATTATACATACATTGTTTGCTGTTCAAGTTGGTGCGAAATTCTTTTTTTCTACGAGATTCATTTCTATTTTAAAACGTTTAAGTATTTAAAAATTGATTAAAAAATCATGTCTATTTCCCGTTTTGCCATACCCCGTAGTGTTCTATAAGAATATTCGAGAAAGTTTAGGGGAGATCACTCCCACTTTATTTTAAAACTGAGTTCGTTCAGCGGGATTTCTACCGTCTGCCGTAAACTAGCTTTGAATGTCCTGATGTTCATTGACCGCTAATGCGGTTTGAAAACATTGATCACGACGTCATTTCTGGCTCCATGATGTGGGGAGGGGGGGGGGGGGGAAATGGCAGACGGTCGGAGGTGGACCAGAACTGAGCAAGTCGGAAGTGGGAGATCTGCCAGACCGGAAGTCCAGACCTGCGGCAGACGAGAGTGATGGCCTGGAGTTGTCTAACCTGGTCTTGTAACTGTGGGGTTCATTTAGTCAGGGAGTTGTCTAACCTGGTCATGTAACTGTGGGGTTCATTTAGTCAGGGAGTTGTCTAACCTGGTCTTGTAACTGTGGGGTTCATTTAGTCAGGGAGTTGTCTAACCTGGTCATGTAACTGTGGGGTTCATTTAGTCAGGGAGTTGTCTAACCTGGTCTTGTAACTGTGGGGTTCATTTAGTCAGGGAGTTGTCTAACCTGGTCTTGTAACTGTGGGGTTCATTTAGTCAGGGAGGTAGCGGGAGTCTTTACCAGTTGGGGAATCTTTACAAGTGAGGGAATCTTTACCAGTGAGGGAATCTTTACCAATAGGGAAACTTTACCAGTGGGGGAAACTTTACCAGTAGGGAATCTGTACAAGTGGGAAATCTTTACCAGTGGGGGAACTTTACCAGTGGGGGATCTTTACCAGTGGGGAATGTTTACCAGTGGGAGAATCTTTACTATTGGGTGAATTTTTACCATTGGGGAAACTTTACTAGTGGGCGAATCTTTACTAGTGGGGAATCTTTACCATTGGGAATCTTTACCAGTGGGAGAATCTTTACGAGTGGGAGAATCTTTACCAGTGGGGAAACTTTACTTAGGTACATTTTAAATCTTTTTTAGCGCAATTTCCATTCTGGAGAATTGCGTTTATTAACTCGTCATTTCTGGGAATGTATGGATGGATGAATGTATGGATGTATGAATGTGTGTACGGGCTTTAAGTCGTATCTCCTCCTCAACGAAGCAATATCGATGACTAGTTACAAAAGCAATTATGTTAAGCAAGTTACGAGGATGAACATAGGCCATAAAAATTCAGGGTTTCTTTCATGGATTTCCCGAAAAAGCCAAAAAAACCTCGAAAAAATGCAGTTTTTGGCCCATATCTCGGCAACCATACCACTTAGCGACTTGAAACATGTACCAATCGATTCCTGCCATAATTTAGAACAATATTGCCGAAGAAAGTTTTCAAAAATATCCTTTCGTTCGGTCACACATTTTTTTTGAATTAATTAAAATTTGGGCCGAATTAGTAGGCATGTTTTTCCAACCACACCACACGCGTCATCACGTTCAATGGCTGCGACATCACGTTCGGTAGCTAGGCGCGCAATGGTTTTTAGTCATGTTACTCTATTGTAAATAAAACATGTAAAATACTGAAAAAAAAAATTAATAAAAAACGTTTTAATAACTAACCAATGGTTTTACTAACCCTGCTCTTGATTTACGCTACGACAGAGCTATTTTTAGATAACATAAGGAAATTGCGCTAAAATTGTCACTAGAGTTTTTTTAATTACTTGTTTTTTGTATAAAGACAATAGCGAAAAGCGGATGTTTTAAAATGAGAATGGAACGTTTGAAAGGTCGAGTGTTGAACACAAGACAAACATTAGCATCACAGCCTAGAGAGAGAGATGGCTTGTGTAGCTCAGAGGATTTTAAAAATTGTCATCGTTTTTGGACAACCTTTGGTGTTTGTTTTTTTTTTAAATTCTGAAGGGTTCATGCAAAAATGGGTGGCTGTATTAAAAACAATTGTGTGGGGTGTGTGTTGGGGTGAAGGGTGGGTGAGGGGGGAGATTTTTTTTTGGGGGGGGGGGGGGGGGAGTTGAGGGCTGAACCAGACTTCAGACACATGTTGAAACTAAATATTCTAGAATACATTCCTAGCTGTGTCATTCGTGCACATACAAAAAAAAACCTTCGGGAAAACCCAGAGGATAAAAAAGAACAACAGAAAAAAATACAACAAAATAACAAAACCTCACCAAAGCTTTAATGGAGGAGCAGGTGAGTGGGGTGGTGGTGGGTGGGGGGGGGGGGGGGGATGGAGGACGTAATAAGGTTAACAGAAGTATCTTAAGCTGAGAACAAACAAATCCCAAAATTTCTCGCCCTTAAAAGCATTGCTTTTGGCTTTTACTAGAAAATCTTTTGTCTACCCCATTAAAAAGATCCGGTGCGTTTCGGTGAGTTAAAAACTAGGACGCGGGTTTTCGGTATTTAGTCTGTGGGTTTGAGAGAGGCGAGGATTATGTTGGATCTGTAAGGGCACATGAACAGCGGCAAAATTTAGACATTTTGGTGGGTAGTGGCATACACAGGCTAGATGCAGACACTGTTAGAGGCAGACACAGAGGCAGACACAGAGACAGACACAGTTAGAGGCAGACACAGTTAGAGGCAGACACAGGTAATGGCAGACACAGTTAGAGACAGACACAGAGGCAGACACAGAGGCAGACACAGAGGCAGACACAGTTAGAGACAGACACAGGTAATGGCAGACACAGTTAGAGACAGACACAGAGGCAGACACAGTTAGAGGCAGACACAGAGGCAGACACAGTTAGAGGCAGACACAGGTAATGGCAGACACAGTTAGAGACAGACACAGAGGCAGACACAGTTAGAGGCAGACACAGAGGCAGACACAGTTAGAGACAGAATCAGAGGCAAACACAGACAGACACAGTTAGAGGCAGACACAGTTAGAGGCAGACACAGTTAGAGACAGACACAGTTAGAGACAGACACAGTTAGAGACAGACACAGTTAGAGGCAGACACAGTTAGAGGCAGACACAGTTAGAGGCAGACACAGTTAGAGACAGACACAGAGGCAGACACATTTAGAGACAGACACAGTTAGAGGCAGACAAAAAGGCAGACACAGGTAATGGCAGACACAGAGGCAGACACAGAGGCAGACACAGTTAGAGGCAGACACAGTTAGAGGCAGACACAGTTAGAGGCAGACACAGGTAATGGCAGACACAGTTAGAGACAGACACAGAGACAGACACAGTTAGAGGCAGACACAGTTAGAGGCAGACACAGTTAGAGGCAGACACAGTTAGAGGCAGACACAGTTAGAGACAGACACAGCTAGAGGCAGACACAGAGGCAGACACAGTTAGAGGCAGACACCCG